CTTTATGAGTAGCTCAAATATATATTTAACCTCTTAGGTTGTTTTTTGTTTTTGTCGTTTTTTTTTTTAATTGGTTACAGTGACAATGATAAAAAGGCTTTTCAACATAAAATATCCTATTATTTCAATTTAAAAAAAAAAAGTAAACCTGCAGGTCTCATATAATCATACAAGTTCATTGTATAGAGAAGTCTCAAATGGTCAGGAAAGGTCACAACTTGTAATTATATTTATCTTCTTAGGTTGTTTTTTGTTTTTGTTGTTTTTTTTTTTAATTGGTTACAGTGACAATGATAAAAAGGCTTTTCAACATAAAATATCCTATTATTTCAATTTAAAAAAAAAAAGTCAACCTGCAGGTCTCATATAATCATACAAGTTCATTGTATAGAGAAGTCTCAAATGGTCAGGAAAGGTCACAACTTGTAATTGCTTATTTGGTGGTGTCACATGGCAAAATAAACACCACACGAATATGGGCAATTTGATATTGGGTGTATAATAATAACAAAAATTAAGAATGGATTCAACAAATTTGGTAAGATAACACATGAGCAATGCAATTTATTGTTTTAATAAGTAATAGCTTTTAAAAATGTCATTGTATCAAAAAAAAGGATGAAGATTTATCCCCTTCAACATATCAAGCATAAACACTTAGCTCTATAGGTGTATCAAAAGCATGCAGATGTTCTTGCCCAAATACGACAACAACAGAAAGAAATGTCAAGAAAAAATTAAACTTGAGTGCATGTAAAACAAAAATCTAACAAAAAATGGAGGGGGGGAAAATGTCCAAACAAGCAGACATAATTTATCATAGAGTTAGTAATAAGAATTATTAGTGTGGAATCTCATTAAATATAACCTGATTAAGAGCAATAACTGGACTTTGTTGGTGCAAAGAACCTACATAAAAAAAAGAGTTGCATGCTGTGCTAACAAAGATGAGACAAAGTTCATGACACACATAAAAATATTCCATTTATAAGGGCAGCAGCAGCAGCAACAAACAACATTAACTCTTTAACAATACCAATATATAGATTTATTTACTGTTACAAATTTTAGGGAAGGTTTTATTCAAACAAAGTTTAAAATATCTTCTAAGGAGTTCTCAATTGCAAATGGTAAAAATATGTGTAAAGATAAGTAAGTGTAGAAAATTTTTTTTTAAAAAAGTGTTATTTTCCTTTAAAAATTTATGGAATCCAATATTTAAGAAACAGTTTGGAAGGTGGGGAAAAGAGGAGTTTAAAAATTTTTCAATGCTATTCAATATATAAATGACCCAAGTGTATTTGTTTCACACTCTTGTTTCTTAGCTCCAACAATACATCATCGGTTATTTAAAAGACAGATTTGTTTTTGTAAAACTACAGCTAGGTTTTATTTTTATGTAAAGTAAAAGAAAACATTAAAAACAGACTGCTATTGGCTTTGCAGTGGGAAGTTGCTCTAAGAAAAGCATTGACTTAGGCACTTTTTGTATAGGTTGGAATGATCCCATTTATGACCAAACAATATGAAGCTACAAATTTTGAAGAAAAGAACTATCCTTGCATGAGAAGAAAGCACATATTTACTGCAAATTTTCATTTCTTATAGGACATTTTAAAATTGATTTTAGGAACTAAACTATTTTTAAAACAAATATATTTAAACTAAATAATCTATGCTCCTATGAATGCCTGCATTTATTTTAATCATTTTTTTTTGTCATGGTAGTCTCAGTTTTCAGTAAAAAATATTACTAAATCCAATGTATGTCAGAATAAAATTGGTGTAACGCTAGAAGTTAAGGCAGGATGAAATACATTGCACAACAATTTAGCAGTTGCCTTTAGTTTAAACTATACTTGATATTTTGATTTTGGCTACATAAATTTCCTGCATTTAAAAACAAGTTTTAAAATGAAATTTAAAAAAAAAACTTGTTGATGGACAAGCAATGTTAATTAATTTATATTAACAAGCAACAACATTTGGAAGAACTTTGTTCAACTGATGTGAAAATGACTCAGGGATTGTGTGTGCAACGATAAATGACTGAAAGAACAGGAAGAATGAAATGCAGGGGAAAAGGGGAAGAAAGTTGGGGGATTGGGGGGGGGGGGGTCAAAAAAATAAAGGGATTATTTTGCTTTAAAAAGGGTTAAAAAGGGGAAAAATTAATTGAATTGAATATTTTTTTTAGGGATTTTGAAGTGGCTAAAAATGTATCCCGGCGCTGAAACCCCTGGGGGGGGGGGGTGTCAAAATAATAAAGGGATTATTTTGCTTTAAAAATGGTTAAAATGTGGAAAAATTAATTGCATTGCATATTTCTTTTAGGGATTAGGTACAAAAATATTGCTAAACCGAGGAAATACAATGGAAAAAAAAAGCATCGACACCAATGGCACATAATACACAATGATAATTGGTCTTATAAAATAGTGTTCGCAGCTAATTTTGATATGAAGGATCAACCAATATGAAGCTACCATCTTTTGTTTTCACTTATACTTCACATATTAACAGTAAATCAGTGAATGCAGCGTTTGGTCAAACAATATTTTATAAGACCAATCTTTAAAAAAAAAATATATATATCTTGGAATAAATTCACATATACACCGCTGGTGAGGTACTTTAAAATGTATCAATATTTTTTTCAAATAAATATAAAATAAATAAATAATGACTGGTTGTTGTTTTTTCTCTCCCTCTTACTTGCAAGAATATATATTGAATATTACAGTACTTTAATGAATAAATAATAGAATCACACTTGACAAGAATGAAAGATGACAAAATTCATTATATATATATTTATAGATAAATTTAAATGTTAAGATCTTTATGTTTTAGACACATTTAAACTTATTATGCACTTACTCAATGTTAAAGCAATCAGGAACTATGTCTAAGCAAAACAAAATAACAGAAGATTTGAACAAGCTGTTTATAATGATCAAATATATAAACAATGCACTGAATGAGGTAAATAGTAATCTCTAAAACATGACCATGCCCACAACTATACATACAACCCTCTATCAGAACTATATCCATAGAACTTAGGGGGGAAGGAACAGGCTTTCTGCAAAAGTGTAGTTCATTTCAAATACCAATTGCTAGCTTTTCTCCAATGCCCCAGATAAACAGACAATGTTCTGGTTTAACAATGGGTTATTTGATAACAAAAATGGCCTTAAAAAAATATATCAATTCACAATATCAAGTAACACAGATAATTAACTGAAAATATTTGTTTAACAGGGGTATTTACAAACGAATTCGGTCGCATTATAATTGAATTTAGTAGTGCATCTTCATAAAAACATTCAGCTAGAAATGAAGCCAGGAAACTTTTTCTAAAATTCAACACACAAAGGCAATTATTGGCAATAATATTACATTTTTTTAAAGACAAAAAAAACGTATTTTCTAATTTCACCAAAATAAAAAAAAAGAAATAAAATAATTCAACAGATTTAGCCTTCAAGTATCTAATCAAACTGATTAACTTATAAAGAAAGAAATTTACAATAAACCCAAAACATGTACTGTAATATTAAAACATATTGCACAAATTGATCAGATGTATCAAATTCAAAAGCAAATAAAATATCTTGAAATATTCATTTTATAAATATGAGATTTTCATTTACTTTTACAGGCAAAAATTAAATTTAACATTCTTGCTGTTATAACCAACAACACATAAATCTTTTACTGCAAAGACACTGATTTAATTTACTTTATGATTTCCAATTTAACTCCATTTCCAGCTGAATTTTGAATAAAATTTTTCTAGAATGCAACATAAAATGAGCAAAATAAACTCTGTGATAAGTGCCATAACTTTGTCCAATAACTGAAGAAAAACATTTTTTTTAAAAAAAGAGGAAAGTCTATACTCATTATTTTAGTTATGACTTACTTCTCAAATTAAAAAAAAAAAAAAATATATATATATATTATATATATTTTAACTGGCAAAATCAAACAGATTTCTAACTCGTTATAAAATTTTCTTAACTCTATCCTTAAAAAAAATAAATACTAAAATGCACAGGTTTTTATTTTTCAGATAGGAACAGAAAAAAGGTACTTTAAGATATGTTTTTAAAAATATTATAACGATTGGAATCTGGTTTGTTTTACATGTGATTAAATGTACTTCGAAGAGATGATCAGGATTTATTATTATTACTTGGTGTGGAGTTATCACTGGAAATGAGGTATTAGATGAGAGTATCAACAAAACCAATTTTATTAATAAATGTGTTCAACAAATTAACTCACTTTTTTTTTTTTACACCTCCTACCCTGAATACAAGTCAAACATTTAGTCAGATTTCAGGTTCAACAGAGATAACACAACCCATTTACATTTTATACATCTAACAGAAACAAGAAAGTCTTTTTAAAAATTTGCTCCAACAAAGACAATTCATTTTAAAGTATCATGACGACTAATTATTACAACAATATAACAATATTAATAAACAATAATAATAATAATAATAACAATAAGGTTTCCCACAACAATTATGATAAAATTAACTAATAATAGCTGTTCAGACAAGGATTAAATTTAGAATAACATAAAAGGAACATTTGATCTCTTTTTTTTTTAAATGCCACAGGACGCTTAATGCTTTTAATCTTCTTGGTTTATGTATGGCTGGTATTGGTCCATATGATGATGTCTTTAAATGGCAACAGGTCAACAATTAACAAGGCTATGTCCTGCAGTAAAAGGGCAATAACATAAAAATTTCAAAGAACAAACAGGAAATTTTTACACTATTTGAAATAAAATTTGTAAAAAAGGAAAAAAAAAATTTCCAGATTCTCCACCTAACTGGACCTGCCACTCGAGTTAAAGCTCAGTAGAAAGATGAACTGGAGGATCCTCCATTACCACTGCCACGTCCTCCTCTTCGAGAGTTGAGAACGTGGCCTGGTCGGCTGGCTGGAGGGGTTTGTGGGTGAGCGACATTAGGGTCATAGTTGAAAAAGTAGACACTGCAATCTTTGGTGGTTAGCATAAGCTCCAAACTGCTGGGATGAACTGCCACATTGTGGCATTGGGCAAGCTTGCTGACCGATTCAAAAATATTCAGGACTTGGCCACTGATATCAAACACTGTGATGTTGAAAGTGTTGTGATTATCTGTGACAACAACTTGATTCAGATAATTGATGGAGACTCCGATGGGGAAGTAGGTGATGCTTTCATTGCCAATCTTGTACAAGAAATCTGCATCATAATTGAAAACTTGTACGCAGTGACCTCGGTTATCACTGATGAAGATCTTACCATCTTTAGCAGCAACATCATTGGGGAACTCAAGATCTTTGGTGAGGGAATGTGAGACAATAAAATTCCCATCTTGGCCAAACATGACCAGTTTCATTACTTTGCACTCCACAACAATGATGGTTCCCTCTTCATCTACAGTAACCCCTCTTGGGTGTTGTAATATGTTGCCTCCAAAACATCTAACAAACTCTCCTTCAATGGTAAAGATCTGAATGTCATGACTTGGTGGGCGCTCTGTCGCAATTATATTCTGTGTGATGGGGCATATTGCAACCCTATTAGGAAAGTACAGAAAACCCTCCTGCCTTGTGAAGCCTTTGTTGCGAAGTCCATTGTTGCGATTTTCGGAGTCCTCAGCTACTGGTGGCAAGTTTGGAGGTTGGCCAATGGTACGAACAAATTCATGCTTGTTATTGTAGTAAACAATGCGATGGTTGTTAGTGTCACAAATGACATAAGATCCATCTTTTAAGTAAGCTTGGCCACTTGGTTCTGTAAAGGCATATTCCGATCTACCATACTCTCCAAACATATGGATGTAAGATGTTTTAGTACGGCATCGGTTAAGGTGGGGTATAAAGGTGCCACCTTTCCTGTCTCGCTCATTGACATTATTCCAGGTTGAGATGGACATAGAGTCAGGTGCGGCAGACCAGCGCTGATAATTACAGTCTGGGTTATCAGATCCTCCAACACCGTAGTCTGACATGGTGCGTCCCCTATTGAACTCATTTCTCTGAGTCCCTGGTGTGGGTGAGACCTTCTGTTCAACATCATTTACTGAAAAACTGATGGACATAAAATTCTGGTTTAGAACTGTGTGCGATTCCTTGTAATTCGGATCAAACTTTATATCAATTTTAATTCCCTCATTGTCTTTAACAGTATCTGCATATCCAGCAACACATCTCTTGTACTCATTCTCCATTGTTGGCAACAATTTAAGAAGGTCTAAGATGGATCCCCCTTCCAAAGTGCGAGTGTTAAATGATGATACAGCCTCTAGTTCCTGTTCAATGGCAGTGATCAGCTTGGACCAAAGCATTACATGACCCTCCATTGCTGCATGCGTCTTGTCCAACATTTCCAATGCAGCCATCCGGTTTTGATCCACGACAGTTTTACAGTAATCAGAGTAGTCCTCGATCTGTTTCCGTATCCCCCTTCTTTTGTTGTCCATTGACTGAAGTAAAACAGGTACCTTTTTGGTCATCTCCATGACGTCTTTGTGCTTGATGCTTGCATCCTCATTCCAGGTCTTCAACCTCTCCACGACAATATAATAGATCTCATGAATATCATGACTATTTTTAGGTGACTCTGGGTGGTGGTGGTCACTGACGCACTTGTCACACATCATCAGCTCACATGTGCAGCAGTACTTGCTCAGGGGTTCGCTTGCGTGCTTCTCACAAAGTGGCTTGTAGTCACCATCAATGCATTTCCCTATCTTTGTAATGGGGGTGAGATTGTGGCCCTGAAAGTGATGAATGGTCTTGTGTCCATCTTTACATTCGGCGCAAAGAAAAGCCATACAGGTGGTGCAGCAGGTGACGGCTTCCTGATCACGGGTACATCCGGTGCAGCTGAATGGGAATATCTTCAATTTCTCCCTCATATACCTTGCTCCTTGGTAGTCAAGGAGGATGTTACAAGGCCCATCTTTGGCTATAGTTTTGCGGGTGCACTTGGGGCAGGAAATAGTTTTATCTGCTGTATTAAATCGCGATGCTATGCAGGAAAAGCAGAAGCTGTGAAGGCAATCCAGGGTGTGGGGCCACTTTTTTTGCTTGTTACAGCAATCACAGGTGACTTGTTTGACAATAGACTCTGGCATGTTACTTGCAAATGGTCCACCCCGCCATGGTTGAGTGGGTGGAGGAAGGCTAAAGTCCTGAGAGCTGAAAGCTTGAAAGTTCCCAGTTGGAGATGTGAAATAATCACCGCCCTGTCTGGTGGGAGAATAGAACCCAGAGGCGTTGCTGAAGCCACCATTTGAAGCCGTGGCATTATTGAAACCACTTTGTGCAGCAGCACCACTGAAGCTCGACAATACAGGAGATGTGTTGAATCCACTTGGACCGGGGGCATTACTAAAACTTTGCTGTGATGGAGCTGTATAGAAACCACCACTTTTGTTATGCACTCCCTGATTTCCAGCAAAGAAACCAGAATTGAAAAGACTGTTTCCTTCATTCAGGAAAGGCTGGAAGTTACCCACCCCAAAGCTTCCTGAAAATGAAGAGCCACTACCAATGGCTCCAAGATCATTACTTGAAGTTGAAGGCATGTTGTCAAAGAAATTAGGCAAGCCCATATGGTTGAGTTCTTGCTGGATAGGCTGAGTTAACAATGAGTGGTTAAAGCTTTCTCCATACAAAGGATTCATTTCTTGCTCTGTAACGGGTGGATTGTAATTACTACTACTACTACTGTTTGGACCAATAATAGGTCTTCCTTGCTCTGAAATTTCCAAAACAAGTTGTAATCAACAAAACATCTCATTTAAATGTTAGCATGTATTTTTCTGGAATTGCGTAACTTTGATTTTGTAAAAAGCAAAAAGATCTCACATAACTATTTAAGAAGCTCTTAAACAACCAAATATGTTTGACAAAAATTACTATTAAAAAAAATAAAATGGATACAAAATAGATACAACTGCAAATAAACAATCAATAATATTGCTTTTTATATTGAATTACAATGGCTCCTATGTTGCCGAGTTTTATTTTCACAGGCAGTCAATGGATAATAATTTAATGACAAAGGGCAATGTAACGAAAAAAATTTAAAAACACAAAGTTTAAAAAACAACTTACTTGGTGCACTAAGATCTGGAAAGTTTTGTATATCCTGGTTTAAATGGCCTACATTTTGTCCACTCATAAATAATCCAAAAGGGCCAGAGTCATCCTTAGTCACACCAAAATCTGATGCAGAGAGGGATGTCATCTTGCGCTCTAAATCAATTTGGGGCTGTAAATATTGACATCTTTTTTACAATACTGGCAAGGTATGATAACCTTAATAAAATACTTATACAACAAAAATCAAATCCTGAAAACTCTGCAATTGGATGTAGGATGATCTTTCACAAGCACTTGTCATAACAACAAATAATTATTGACATCTATTCTATTGTTATTTTGGTTGTAATTTAACATACACGTAAATTAATATCAGAACGTTTTAGAGTGCAATGGTTCTTTCTTTAAAAATAAGAAACAAAAATTACTTTATGTACTTTCAATTTAACAAAAAAACTGCATATTTTAATTTTTGCTTTGTCAAAAAATATCCATAAACTGGAGGTTAATTGCATTTTAACGCTTAGGAAACCATTAGGTGTTTTTGGCAATTTGTAATAAGTAATAACATGAAGATCTTTTCAATAATTTTTAATCTTTGAATCATGCAAGGGACTGTGCATACAGTTTGTCACACTCCTGAGGGGGGTGGGGGTATCTAAGAAAGTGTGACAGTTTGTGAGGGAGGCAGGGTAAGTAAAGATCATAGGTAACGTCACAATGTATATTTATATTTTTTTTTACATATAAAACCTCAAATTGAGTGGTGTTTAACTTTTTGTTGTGCATGATGCAGTCTGACAGATGCAGACATGTTTACCCCTGGGTTAGTGTCAGAGTATTTATCAGCTCTCAAAGTGTAGTTTGGGGGATTTTTTTTTGGGGGGGGGGGGG